TTAGAAAACACTTGAGCTCCCTGAAGCTGGTCAAACAAATCATCTATTCGGGACAATGGGTATTAGTTTTTCACAGTCACTTTATTCAATTCGCGATAATCTATACATAACCTCAAAGTCCCGCCTTTCTTTTTGACAAACAACATTGGAGCACCCCAAAGCGAAGTACTCAGTCAGATAAACTTCTTGTCTAATAGTTCTTGCAGTTGAATTTTAATTCTTTCAGTTTAGTGGTTAGCATTCTGTATGGGGTTTTGGAGATTGGTTGTGTTCTAGGTACTACTTCAATAGTGAATTCAATTTCCCAATCAATCAAGTCTTCGGGTAGTTCATTCAGAAAGACATCAGGAAACTCACTAACTATAGGGAAATTTTCTACATTAGCACTATCTGGAATTACAGTCAAAGCACAACACAAAAATCCCTTGAATCCCTTCTTAAGTAGTTTGTTTGCTTTCATGGAAGAAATCAAATACGGGGGAGGAACTATACCATTTCCAGCAAATACAAACTCAGGTATCCTCAATGGCCGAAACACTACAAATTTAGCCACACAATTAGTAGTGGCGTGATATTTTGTCAACCAATCCATACCCAATATACAATCAAAATGACCAATATCCACAGGCATCTAATCAACATATAATAGCATATCTCCAATCACAATATCACATGCAGGACACACATACGCACACATCATAGAACCCCCAGATGGTGTAGATACTAATAACAAATAGTTCATTTGTTCTAGAGGTCTAGTCAATTTTCGATAAAAAGTATGTGACACAAACGAGTGAGTGAATTCGGAATCTATCAACACATATGCATTTTGGGCATAGATAGGGAGTATACCTAACACCACATATTTAGTATTCTGGACATCTCCCGACATAAGGGCAAAAACTCGACCTTGCCTCAAGGTTTCTTTTCCAACATTGGTTCTTACATTTGTTCTTGGTGCAGAAGAAGATTTGGCTAAACTTGCTACAGGATGGTTGGAACTTTAGGACATTGGACAATCTTTTACTATATGACCAGCTTGACCACACCCTTTGTCTGGTAACACATACCTTTATGTTGCCTTCCACATTTTGAACAAGTAAGCGTGGAGCCACTCCCTTGACTTGAACTGCTAGTCGATCCTGTATTTTGCTTCTTATTCATTGAGAATGACCAACTCTTCTTGAAATTAAATCCCAATCTTTTACCTCTCCATTCAGTTGTTGGAGCTTTGCCCTGCTTCATAGCTGCTAGGGTTGGCTTTAGACATTAAGGCTCTGTCCAGTATATCCACATACTTGGTCAGCTTTAGAACTCCAACCCGATCAAGTTCATCTAAGTTAAGACCTCCTTCAAATTTCTTGGCCTTTTTGTGATCCGTGTCAACCATATGTGGAGCAAACCGGGCTAATTCTATGAACTGGGCCTCATACTTGGCCATTGACATAAGGCCTTGTTTCAACTGTTCAAATTCTGAAACTTCATGATCCCGAAAACACAGAGGGAAGTATTTCTCATAAAATGTTTCCTTGAATTGATTCCATCTCATAGCACCATTGTTATCCTGTATCAGCATCCACCCACGCCTTGCTTCTTTTTTCAGAGTATTGGTGGCCAACATCACTTTTTGTGTTTCAGAACAAGGGAACACTTCGAATAATTTTTCAGTCTTAAGCATCCAAGTCTCGCCTTTCAATGGCTCAATGCCGCTTAGAAAAGTCAGTGTCTTCATTTTGTTGAATTTTTAAGTTAGAGTAATGATATCATTATTCACCGGCTCAACTTGTACCGAAGAAGGTGGAAAAGGTAGTGATTGTTGCCTTTGTTGTTTTCTCATGGACTTAGTTAGAGCCTCTAGCATTCATTCCATTCGGTCCATTCAAGCATCAAAGGATTCAGTTACATCATCACTCCTTATTCTTTCCATTTGCTATAGGTAAACAGAGCACTAATAAACATAGACAAATAATTCTTTTACAGTTTCAGAGTGTTCATTTTCATTTCGGATTTTAGATATATTCCCATAACTCACACACACCTACATATGACAATGCTATGTCCCTAATTCTTTTATAGGGCATCCTATAGCTCATATGGACTCATGTATGCTGTATAACTCGTGCTTTGATACCATTCTGTCATGACTGAAACCCACCCCTATCGGTTTATCGTCGTAATCGGCCAACAATCCTAAGATTACCAAAGGCCTCTAAGACAGATTCATAATATAAGGAGCTAGCGGAAGCAAATATCAAAATATAATTGTCCATAAAGTTGTGCAGACTTAAATGGGACAGAGAATTTTTAAACCTTATATACATATATCAACACATCATTCTTACGTCATTCATATACAAATAAAACAAAAAGGCCATTGCCCTATTACAGATAAATAAAGACTTGTCCACTTGTTATAACATTTGTACACAAAAGACTTTCAGGAACCTCCACGTAAGGTACAATGGTTGGCATGACAAAAATAGATCTCCATGCTACCATCTCTAGGCCTGGTCATGCGCCTAATCACCTATGTACATAATATAAATAATGAGCCGGAGCCTAGTAAATAACAACAGAGTAAAGGTTTTATGAATGATGTCTATAACAGATTCAGAAATTAAAATTCGAATTATATCAGATTTAGAGTCAGATACATTTTTAGATTTACATTCATTCATATGTGGTACAACTATTAGCTAGCAGAATAGATTGGTCAGAAAGACCCATATACAGAGCAGATGGTCATTAAAACCCATATTCATATCAGACAGATGATTGTGCAGAATTGTAACAGATAACTATATAGGTTTCAAAGATAGTTCCATGATTGGAACCCACAGAGATCCTTGGTACCAGGTAACATATAACAAATATCAGATGCTAAGGATGCCATGATTACATTTCAGAAAGTTGGACAATCATTCATTCTAATCTGAAAATAACTTTTCAGAAACAGAGTATACCGTATAATTAGAAAATACTTAAGTACAAATATATCTTTATAGAATTGTTACTCATAGATAGCTCTAGAGACAGATCAGACGGACAGTTGTGCATGACCTACACGGACACATAATAGATACACATTGAAATACATGCTCTGTAGATACTTAACTTATTACATTTCCTTCCTTAGTGTGTTTCTAATTCATATCCTCATTATTATGGCCTAAACCATGGCTTAAGAATGTCTAGGATGGGATGAAGATGCAATTATACACTTTGAAACACTTAGCAAAATTTTGAAAAACATGGCAGTTTGCTTGGGCCAAGCCTTGGTCGCTCAAACGGAATCCTTGGTCTGCAAAAGTACTAGATGCTCTCATTTTTTGCTCGAGCCAACTTCTAGGTCGCTCGAGCCAACCTTCAAACTCTGCAAAAGTATTGAGAGCACGAAATGTGTGCTCGAGCAAAGAAACCATTACTCAAGTAATCAAGCAGAATTCTAGAATATCCAAAATTTTGTTCTATGTTCAAAACACAAGTTCAAAGCATCAAACCCATCCCTTTGGGCCAAAACTTAAGAAAACTCTTAGAAACTCATATAACATCATGAATTGAAGATCATTTAGCAAAATTAAAGCCCAAAAGCTCGCCAATTCTTCGAAATTATACTTGAAACTTCATATTCATAACATGCATGCTATGACTTGGATTCCTTTCTCACAAATCACGACTTGGTGTTCTTAGCTCAGAAGAGATTGGCCTTATAAGGGTAAATTTTTTTTAAAAAAATGGCAAAAATAATAAAAATGAACATATTACTGAAACTCGAGAACACAAGCCTAAACATTGTTTATTTGTTCGAGAACAGGTAACCGAACATTTATTTTCTCACATTATAAACAATTATGTGGAGATGAAATAATAATTACTTTCATGAGTTTTGTTAGGTTTTCTGAAAGAGAGGCTCTTTAGGGTGTGGGAGTGTGCATTAAATTGAATGAGTAAAATGTTTTCACAAGGACAATTTTGGTATCATTTGGAAGGAGAAAATAAATTTTAAGAGTTTTAGAATTTATAAACAAGAGTTCGAAGAAATGAAGGGTCCAAAATAATTGATCAGTTGCTAATAGCAACACTCCAAACCAAAGCCCACGAAGACAAAATAAATAATAAGTAATAAAAATGAGATTACCAGTATCCCTACCAAATAAAGTCAAACCCTAACTCAAATCCACCAGTGTATATAGAGAGAGAGAATGAATGGAACAACCCAATTCAAAAAACAATAAAAAATAAAAAATAAACCATCAGAATGGCACAGCAAAACAAATAGAGAGATCACAATGAGGTGTTACACCACCGAAGCTACAGGCGCTGCGCAACTCCACCATCACTATTGTGCAACCCTACCGCTGCTGATGCTAGTGATGTTGCGTTACACCATCGCCATTGGACTTGATTTCATGGGGTTGATTTGGGTTTGATTTAGTGGCGATGGGAGAATAAAATGACGGATCACAATGGCAGTAGTGGTAACGATTTGGGTTAGAGTAAAGATGGCAGCAGAGGTGGAGTTGTGTTGTGGCAATAGTTGTGTTAAGAAAAAATTATACACATAATATAATCATATATGTATAGATATACAATGAAATAAAATTACACTTAACCTCCTCCAGCCATTGTTGATCAAGTTATGTGATGTGTATATATCTTATAAATCTCTTGATATTATAGTACTTACTCACACTTTAGGAATAAGTATCTTCTAACCTGTGCAAAACTTGAGTGCCTCATTGATAGAAAACCATATGCCTATTTATTTAAAACTATTAGATAGATACCTTATCAGATAAACCTTATTAGTTTCCTTCCATCAAGGAAACTCGTCAATTACTGGAAATTGATAGGTGTTAGCCAAACCATCATTAGCCTTTTTAGTATTTAGGCGACCTTAATAATTATCACCCATAACCTTAAATTAAATAAAAGATAAATAAATATGAAAGTATAAATATACAAATAATACAAGCAGCTTCTCTTGAAAAGTTGGCCTTAGGAAGAAGTCCAGTAGATGACGGACGAGCTACTCTTTCAGTTTTCCTCACATTATTCGGTCTTCCAAGCGGCATTGTATCTTGAGGAATATTATTTGGATCCTTAATAGATAGCTCCTTTCCTTTATGGTCAATCAGCCCTTTTTGAGGTGCATCTGCAGTGCCACGTGTTATTCTTCAAGTAAATGCAATGGTGGGAAACTTAAAATAGAATATCAAGTAGTAGTTACCTTCTTTTTGAAGAAAGTTTCCAAGTGCAATTTCTAGATGTAATTTTTTTGGCATCAAACCATTCCTGCATGTGGAAAACAATATATCTAGAATCCATAATTTTGACAATGTTTTATATAGTAAGTAAATAAATTAAAAGGCTGAAACAGGAGCTAAGAAAGTGCCATATACCTGAATGCCAAAAATATAAGGCACTGAGCTCTGAGCTGTTTTAGATGTTGTTCCTTGAAAGGCACAGGAGCCAGGGAAGTAGAAGATTTCCCTGTATCACTAGAAGCAGCACTTCTAAGCATGTTCATTTCCATAATATTGCCTGGAATGCCACTCTGTTTACAAAAACATCATATGGCAAAAGCAAACAAATAAAGCTTCAAATATCAGACATATATAAGACTACAAACACACAAACTAAATATATGATCAACGCTTAATGAATTAAAACATAAAACGCCATTCAAATTAAAACAAGAGCATAATAAAACATCAACAATTAAAAAAAAGGCCTGTAGAACAATAAAATCACTCACAAACATATCTTTGAATTAACTGTAGATGCCAGCAATTCTCAAGAAAGAACTTATTCCAGACTCTTCTATTTATGGGAAGGGGCTAGGGGTGGGGTTTCAATGTTTCATCTTTCCGATCAATTTGTCTTGTTCTTGAGGTCTCATCAGTTGATATTATTGAACAGGGGGTTACTTCTGAAATCCTAAGGGCTATTGTGAATGAGTCAACCATTGTGTCGGAGTCCTTTCACGCTAAATTTCTCAAGGTCAGGTGAATGACAATCAGGGAGGGGTCTCAAGTAATCATTTTGACAAGGGGGGCCAGGTTTTTAGAGAAGACGAGGAGGAAACGGCAAGATGGCTGAAGGAGTTGAGCAAGTATTGCCCAATTGAGGAGAATGAAGTGCGTCGTTTTATGCAGTTACTTCAAGTTATGGGATTGTCACTAGTAAAAATTAAGGAGACTTTTGGGCCATTTAGGAAGATTAATAGGGTCACGAGGGAGAAAGGTGTTAGAAAGTAAGGAGAGAGTAGTAAAAAGGGGGCAAGGGAACTAAGGAATTTAGCAAGTTCAATTAATTATGAGAGGAGGTGAGAGGATGTTAGGGGTGAAATTGTTTCCCAATGAAGATTATAGTTGGAATGTAAGGATTTTCTACGGAATCATCAACCGGACATAGTTGTTTTTCAAGAGTCTAAAATAGAAGTGTGTAAAATAGAAGTGTGTGATAGGAGATTCATGAAAAGTCTTTGGGGCGTTAGACATAGGAGATGGGTTAGAATGCCTTTAATTGGTAGATCATTGTCCTATTGTGATAGAAAATTGCCCATTAAAATGGGAACCAATGCCTTTCAGATTCAAGAACATGTGGCTGGAGCATCCATCTTTTAAACAAAATTTTGAGGAGTGGTAGGCCAATGCTAGTTGTCATGGATTGGAAGGTTTTAAATTTATGAGAAAGTTGAAGATGGTTAAGGAAAATGTGAAGTGTTGGAATAGGAAGGTTTTTGGGATTTTAGAGTTTTCAAAGGAGGTGAAGCGTAGAATAGAAGATTTAGATGCCTTGGAGTCCCAAGGAGGTTTAGTTGAGTCATTTAGGAGGGAAAGATCTAAGTTGAGATTGAAATTGGAAGAGTTGGTTTTTAGGGAGCAAATTTCTTGAGCTCAAAAAGCAAAGGGCAAATGGTTGAAGGAAGAGGATATTAATTCAAACTTTTTTCACAAGGGTGCAAATGGGAAAAGGAAGAAGAAATTCATCAAGAGATTAGAAGTGAGCCCAAGGGTAGTGAAGGAAAGGGAGAATCAGATTGTCAGTGGAATTTATGATTTTTATTCTAAGCTTTATTCGAAGAAGGAGGTGAATAGACCGGGAATTGTAGGACTTGAATGGGGACCCATTGATCAGGCAATTGCATCGTGGCTTGAAAGGCCTTTTGACGAAACGGAAATTTGAGAGGCAGTCTTCGGCTGTGAGAGAGACAAAGTTCCAGGTCTGGTTGGTTTTTCCATAGCCGTCTTTCAAAACTGTTGGGAGGTGGTGAAAGGGAATTTGTTGAGAACGTATTCGGAATTTCATGAGTTGGGGTTTGTTAATTTGAGCTCAAATGCCACATTCCTATGTTCAATTCCTAAGAAAGTGAATGTTGTAAGAATTTGATATTTTAGGCCCATTAGTTTGGTAACATCACTTTATAAGATTTTGAGTAAAGTTTTATCAAAAAGAAGGATTTCTTTGAGGGAAACTGTGTCTAAGGCACAAGGGGCTTTTATTAAAGGAAGACAAATCTTAGATGTAGCCTTAGTGGCAAATGAAGTAGTGGAGGAATGTAGAAGTTCAAGAAAGGAGAACCTTATTTTTAAGATAGATTTTGAGAAGGCATATGACCATGTGGATTGGTAGCTATTGGATTTTGTAATGGACAAGAAGGGTTATGGTAGGCGGTGGAGATCTTGGATTAGGGGATGTTTGTCGACTTGCAATATGTCAGTTCTAGTTAATGGTAAACCAGGGGATTGCTTCAGGGCTTCACAAGGGTTACGACAATGGGATCCACTATCTCATTCTTTTTATTCTTTTTATTTCGGTGGCTGACTTACTGGAAAGGATGGTTGAGAGAGCTAGACAAACAGGTCCTTTTAAGGGTTTGGAGGTGGAAAGGGATAGAGTTAGTGTGACAATTTACAATATGCGGATGATACCATATTTTTCTCTCTAAGAGATGAAAGTCAAATAGTTAATCTTTATTCGATTTTGAGACTTTTTGAGGTAATCTCAGAGCTTAAAGTTAATTTGGAGAAAAGTAGTGTGATGGGCATTAATATGCAGCAAGATCAACTTCAGAATAGGGCAGCACTTTTAGGATGTGATATAGAGTCACTTGCGTTTAAGTATTTGGGTCTTCCATTGGGGATAATCCTAGAAGTGAAGCTTTTTGGAATCCAGTGGTGGAAAATATTGGCAAGAGGTTGAAAGGGTGGAGTAAGGCTTTATTGACACGTGGGGGCAGATACACTTTGGTTAAGAATGTTTTGAATGGTATTCCTATTTAGTTCTTATCTTTGTTCAAGATTCTGGTTAAGGTGGCAAGGTCACTAAAAACAGTTGATGAGGGATTTTTTTTTTGGAAGGCATGGATGGGGGGAGGAAGAATCACCTGGTGAATTGGGATTTAGTTTCGTTACCTAAGGAGAAGGAGGGTTTGGCTATCAGTAACATTTTGGCTAGGAACATGGCCCTTATTGGCAAGTGGTTATGAAGATTTTCACTTGAGACTAATTCACTATGGCATTTGATTATTAGAAACAAGTATGTGACTTAAGACAATGGTAGGGATTCACAAGTGGTTCTGAGGGGCAACTGTCGTGCTCCTTAGAAATCAATTTCTCAAATCTTCACATGTTGGTCTCATCATCTTTGTGTAAGGGTAGGCAATGGGGAACTTGTTGGATTTTGGGAGGATGTTTGGATAGATCAGTCTTCTTTTGCTGCTGATTTTCCACATCTCTATAGAGTGGCTTGATCTCATAATTCTTGTATTGCTTTCATGACTTGTTCACTTTGGGCTCCAATTTCCTAGAATTTTGATTTTTCTAGGAATCTTAATGATAGGAAGGCTTCACAATTGAATTCTTTGTTGTCCAGAATTGATCATTTTTCTTTGTCTCCTCTATGGGAGGACAAGAGGGTTTGGGCTCTTCATTCATCCGAGATATTCTCTTATAAGTCTTTTTTTTGATAAAATCATCAACAATCTTCATGTTCCTCAGTTTCATTTTTGCAAAAGAATTTGGAAGGCTTGTGCTCTTCTAAAGGTGAAGGTGTTCATGTGTACCTTGGTTCATGAAGGCATTTTGACAAATGATTCATTGCCGAAATGGAAACCTAATCATTTTCTAAATCCTCAGTGGCATATTCTGTGTTGTAAGAATAAGAAATCCGTAGATCATTTATTTTTACATTGCCCAATCACTTTGAATTTACGGCACAGATTTTTTTTTTTTTTTGGGAATGTTTTGTGGATAGCTTGGTTAGTTTCTATCCTCCTTGAGTTTGCGGGGGGCTGTTAGAATTTACCAATTTACTCCTCCACCTACCATCTCCACTAGCACCCACTTCACCTACCACCTCCACTACACTACACCTACTACCCAAACCCTCTCCTATATAATGCCACTCTGATTTGTAATACAACACATCAATACAACAATCAGAAATCAATCAATAATACAGTATTTTTTACAACTTTCGCGCATTCGGAGGATCGGAGAGAGTCAAAATGCTATGGTCTTGTGCCTTCTTTGCAACTTTTTGGATTCTATGGATAGAAAGAAATGTGAGGATATTTGAAGATAAGTTTCGGCAGGTGGACTGCTTGTGGGATAATGTTTGCCACTTAGCTTCTTTTTGGGTTTCGGGGAATTCTCTATTTAAGGGAGTCTCACTTTTTTTGTTAGCTAAAGATTGGTTGGCGGTGTGTGATATGTAAGATTTTGCTTGAAATTATCTTATTAGGGTTCTGCTATTTGTATTTTCGTTGTCCTTTTATAAGAGGATGCCTCATCCTTGCTTTCTTTTTTGACTTTCAATAAAGTTCTTTGTTGTTGATCAAAAAAACCAAAAAAAAAAAAAAATTCACCATTCATCTTTTGCTAACAATTGCCATTATGTTTTCTTTTTTTCTTTTTCTTTTCTTTCCTCTTCTAAAAAGAATGAGATACAGGAATGTGTAGAGTTCATGCCTCAAGTACTGCACAAAATCAGCATCTCTTCATGTTTAAGAATGTTTCTTCCAGTGTTCCTAAAATTGCACTGTGATGCAATGATAAACCCACACTAAATCTACCTCTTTCTTCTCTTTTCTAAAATCCTATGAATATTGTACTTCAAAACATTATGCCAAAAGAGTCCTCCATATAACCAGCAGCACCCTCCCAACAACAAATTACTTCCAGTAAAAATGATTGCAATAGGGAATATCAAACTACTGTTTGAACTTAACGGGCTAGAACAAATAATGACTACATCACAACAATTAGTCAATGCATAATAGACAACAGCCCCAATTAGAATCACTTAAAAGCTACCTTTTATGATTATAACTTTTTACATTACTAGCTTAAAAAACTTAAATTAGTAGTAAATTTGTTTGGTGCAGCTTCTGATAATTTGTGAAAATAATTGAACCTGTTTGGTAAATAAGCTACATATAGCTTTTGTGTAGTGCAAATATCCATAATACCCTCAAAAGCTAGAAAGCATGAATACGGATACGAGGTACAGATACGGCGATACAACAAAACCTAAAAAAGTAAGATATGGGTACGGTTAGGACACGTTTGTAAAAAATAAAAAATAAATAAATTATCAACAGTGAGTTACACATAAGCTCAAGAATGTTGAGAAACCATAGTAACTTTATGATGCAAAATACTAATCTTTAAGAATTAGGTATTAATTTAAGGCAGCAGTTAGTTTAGTTTTTAAATTTTTAATAGGTCTTGCAAATATTTCATTTCAATATCAAGTCTAATATGTTGATATTATACTATCAAAACAATCCACAACTTGACCCTATGTTTTTTCCTTTTGCACTAGTCAAAAATATTTTATGCAAGTTTATTTACTTATTTATTTATTGATATTTAATTTTACTATTGTTATATTATCTTATTAATCCTTACTTCTATGTAGTTATAGGGGACATGCATGATACAATAAAGCTATGTCAATTTGATGAATTCTATTACTTTAGCTTACTATGTTATTTTTATAAAAAAAACTAAGCAAAGTATTGTAAAAATATTCTATTTATCCTCACAATTACATTATATTATGATGTTATGCAAGAAATGATACAATTCTAATTTCGTAAAAGGAGTAATATGTGACTTTGAGCATTTGATACTTCAAAATTAATTAAGAAGTATCCGATAATATATGACTTAGAGAATCCAATACTTTAAAACTAAGTATCCGATACTTCAAAATTAATGAAAAATTAATTAAGAAGTATCCGATACTTTTAATAAGTATCTAATATGTATCCGTAAGTATCCAAAGAATATCGGTATCCGATACGGATACGTCTTCCTATTTGAAGTATTCGTGCTTCATAGCTCAAAAGTCCTCTTTTTTTTTTTTTTTTTTTTTTTTGTGTGTGTGGATAAATTACCCTCAAAAGTCTTGTTTGATACAATTTAATTGTAAAAACTCAAATATTTCGAGAATTAACATAAATAATTAGATATCCAGTTGCATGCATTGAAAGTGCAATTCCACATATCAATTATCTAGATAGCCCTCCACAAATTGATTGGCAAATTGTTGCCACCTAAAGAAAGTGTGAGTAAGATATTTGTAAATCAGTAATAAAAGAGAAGGGTTTTTCTGTCACATAATTTAAGGGTTTCAAATAAGTTGAAAAAAGCTACAAATTGTAACTTCAGAAAATCTAACTTTTTTTGGTTGAATAAGCTGAAAAAGTCAAATATGCTATAATCTAAAATTGCAACCAAACACCATTACTTTTTTTTTTCAATCAAATAAGCTAAATAAGTTGGCTTATAAGTGATACCAAATGGGGAGGCCAACTTCATCAAACAATTAATCTGGAAATAGATACTTCTCAAGGAAAAAAAAAGCTTGGATTTGTCTTCCATTTTATAAATGAAAACAGTTGAGTTAGAGATCACCAAATCAAGAAGCAGATGACTGACTCAGGTAAATATCAACGGAACAACTAGTTTGTTGTCTTTCAGAGATCATCTTTACTCCTTGAGGTTGTTTGGGAGATCACCTTTGGAGTGGTCTTCTCATGAGCAGTACAATAAAATTGGTGACATGCTTCTTGTACCACTGTTCCATCACTTGTTTCCCACTCCATCATTCATTCGTTTTGTTACCCTTCTAATCTAAAAAGATATTGTGTTTCTTACTACAACAAAATTTGGAGAGAAGCCCATCAAATTGGGGAAAAAACAAGGACACAAACTTATATCTTCTCCTAGACACTGTAACAACAAGAACTCTCAGAACCCTTTTTTTTCCTATGAAGCATGGACACCTCTCCGGGGCTTACGTATCAGTGTCGGAGTCGGACACGTTGTGGACACATGCTCGACAGTCTCCTGAGAGTGTCCCCCTTTTTTTTTTGAATTTTTCGCAGCCGGACACGTTCAGGACACATTTCGGACATTGCGGGGTACAAAACATAATTTTTGAAACATGAATTGGGGGTCTCAAATTGTAAAAAAACAAAAATTAAAACAATTAAACCAATTAGGAACCCTAGAATCAAACAGATTGAAGAGAAAAGACCAGAGAAAGGCTCATTGCCGCTCGTTGCCATATCCAAGGAATGTTCTTCGATCTTCTTCTCTCTTCTTGTTGTTCAATTTTCTTTTTCTTCACTCTCTCTCTCTCCCCCTCTCTCTCTCTCTTCTTTTTTTTTTTTTTGCTGATTAGTTTTCTTTGAAGGATAAATCAAATTGTTGCTATTGTTGAAATTGTTAATTTTAATGATGTGTTTATTAATTTTATTATAGGAACCAATTTTTTTATTTTGAAATATGGCAATGGCTTCTACGGGTGATAGTTCTAATGACATAGCTTATGATGATTTTGATGAGAACAAACCATGGTGGAAGTATATAACTAAATTAGCAAAACTTGGGGAAGGAGGAGGAAATTACCAATTATAATGTAATTTTTGTAATAATAATATACAAGAGTAAGGGCACACTTGTTAAAACTCCCACGAAAGGGAATTGGTTCTTGTAAGAAAGTTACAATTCAAAAACTTTCACAAATGCAAAATGAGAATGATGCTGCTGAGCTAAGAATTAAAAATGCCCATCCCAAAAATGTACCATTTCCTCCTATGTATCAGTGGGTAATAGTTATGCTTATGAATCAAAGAAGGAAAACATGTGGGAGTGGGAGTGGGAGTGGGAGTGCCATTGAAAAAGCACTCGACATGAAGGATAGAGAGCCATTGCATTTTGAAATTGCTACAATTTGGGGGGTACCATTTAATCTTGCAACGAACCCTTACTATGTTAGCTCTTACTCATTTGCTGCAAATCATTATATCTCTTACTCGTTTGCTGCAAATCATTATATTTCTGGATATTTGCCTCCTGGTTATAATTTGTTAAGAACCACATTACTTCAAAAGGAGAGGGCAAATATTGATAGATTGTTGCAACCAATTAGGGGCACATTGAAAGAAAAAGGGGTGAGCATTGTTAGTGATGGTTGGAGTGCTTCTCAAAGGAGGCCTTTGATCAATTTTATGGGAGTGAGTGAAAGTGGGCCTATATTCATTAAGACAATTGATTGTTCGGGAGAAACTAAAGACAAATATTTCATTGCAAATTTGATGAAAGAAGTGATAAATGAGGTTGGCGCAAGTAATATGGTTCAAGTCATCACTGATAATGCTCCTAATTGTAAGGTAGCCGGACAACTCATTGAAGCTCAATTCCCTCATATTCTATGGACTCCTTGTGTGGTGCACACATTATATCTAGCTTTAAAAAATATTTGTGTTGCAAAGAATATTGAGTGGAATGAAGTCACATATGAAGAGTGTAGTTGGATTAGTGATATTGCCGGAGATGCTATGATGATTAAGAATTTTATCTCTAATCACTCAATGTGATTCGTTGTATACAATGAATTTGTGCCTTTGAACTTGCTTTCGGTTGCCGAAACATGATTTGCCTCCACAATTGTTATGCTCAAGAGGTTTAAGCTTATAAAACATGGTCTTCAAGCAATTGTGATTAGTGACAAATGGAATTGTTATATAAAGGATGATGTTGGGAAGGCAAGATTTGTAAAAGAAAAGATTTTGGATGATGTGTGGTGGAACTACATTGATTATATTATTTCCTTCACAGGTCCTATATATGACATGCTTAGGGCTTGTGATACGAACAAGCCTTGTCTTCACTTAGTGTATGATATGTGGGACACAATGATAGAGAAAGTGAAGATGACAATATATAGGCATGAAGGGAAAAGAGTAAGATCTAGTAAATAAGGCAAGCAAGGGTCAGATACTATAGAGAAGAAGACAGGTAGGAGAAAAATTTGGCAGAGTATTTTAATACGCAGTTGAAATGGAGATTGACCATGGTGAACCCCCATAATACACCATGAGACAGACAAATGCATGCATAGGTGTGCCTCTGCTACATAATAACGATGAGATATTACAGCATAGCAACAAGAACTAAAGCTATCATCATCTTCAAATTTAATCTTGTTTGAGATTAATAAGAACACAAGGGAAGCTAAAGCAGACTATAATTCAGTAACATGATCATGACCTCACTTTGCTAGAAGAATGAGAACCATATTAATGAATAAAAATGAAATACCTGAACCATCTTATTTGCATTTGCTAACACATTTGAAGTTCCTCCATCATGCTCAACTGAAGGCAAGGCAGAACATGGCTCCTTGATTCTTTCCTTACTCGCATTCACAACCAAGCCAAGATTATCATATGAAGCACTGCTGAAATGCATTGGACTCATGATTCCTTGCTCTACTGGTGGATATGAACCAGAAGAACCAGGGGCTGCTCCATGAACCTTGCCAGATGCACCTGAAATTTGAGCAGCACTTTGTGGGATATTACAATTTACAACTCAGTATTTCTTTACAGCACTTCAAAGTTCAGCCACGTACAGAAAGTAGTGTTCATTTCTCAGCAAAACACAAGCACACAAGAAAACACACAACATGCACGCATTCACAAATGGCAGACACAGAATTTCCCATTATTACACCCCGGCAACCAGGAATTCAAAAATCTCAAGAGAAAGTATTCAAGTTATCATGCGGTTATAGATTTAGAATTTTTAGCAACTTCAGCTCTGATCGAAAATGAGACATTTCCATATTTTCTGCACAAAATTCACATGCATAGTTTTCAACAAACTAAATGATGATTATTTTACTAATTTTTTAGAAATTACTTACTTGAACCAACAGGAGCATTTGACTGGTGCATCAATATTTCTGCTGTCGAATTACCAGAGCCAGCATTAGAAGGAAACCTTGACACTTGAGATTTTTCAAGTGGAAATTCTGTCATATTGTGATTCCATAAACCCCTGGAACTAAGAATGTCAAGTGTTGACAGTCTCGAGCCTCCATGCTGTAGACCTAAAGCACTAGAAGACACTTCTATTTCTTCAGGGAATTCTGAATTTGCAGCTTGTGAAATCGAATTGGTAATGTTTGTTGAGCTCATGCTACTAGGTAAAGTGGGGATATGTTCCATCTGACCACTGCCCTGGACCAAATTGAAATGGCTATGCTTGCTGCCTTTAACAGATAAACTCCCAGGTGGTTTAACCTTGTTCACCAACTTCCCCTTCCTTGCATGAAGGTTGCCGGTATCAACATGCTGGGGGTTGTCAATATGTGGCTCAGCAGTAGATGATGAATCAGCCCTCTTTCTCTTACTGCTGGCCATCTTACCATCATTCTGATTTGCTTTATCCCGATTTGATGTATCATGCCTTTCCTGTGACTGAGAGTTGGCAGACCTAGTATCAAAACTGGATGGACTTTCATCATCGAGAGACTTAGTACCGAGATGGGATACAGATCCTTGATAAATATCATGTCCTGCACTACTTGGGCCAACAGGTGGCCTGCTTGAAGGATGTGAATTGGCGACCTCACTTTCAGACATGCCTGCTTTAGAATCCTTCGCAATTGCAGCTGTTTGAGAAGACCCTGCATTGACAATATCTCCTGAGTGCTAACTTAATACTACATCCCATGCAATCAAACGCATTTCATGCCAAAGCAAACAGCATTCAGCAATTTGGTAGGTTTATGTTTACCTGCAAACTGTGTTGATGAAGAATCTCCCATGTGGGTTCCACCAGACAAAGGAAGGTGCGATGAATTCAGAGCCTCCATGTCAATACTATGCTGATTGATAACAGTCTCCATTGCCCTTAAATGAAGAAAATTAAATTAAGAGCATAAGGAAGAGAGTGAGGAATAAAGGTGAAATGAGTGATCACATTAACAGGCCATTCAAAGCACTCCAAACTGAGCTTTTAGGTTAAATAGTCATCTCCTAGTCTCTAATAACCTAAAACTCGAAATCAGTAGGTATGATCCGCTGAGTGATGAAGAACATATCAAGAAATCAATCCTAATCATTTATATCACCCAAGATGGTCAGAGAATCCTAAAACAAAGAGTTAGTTATCAAGCAGGGATGAAAATTATCAAAAAATCAAAATAAATTAACAGTGCACGTTCTGGCTCAAGTATGAAAGTCTAGACTACGTTCAGCAATTTGGTAGGTTTATGTTTACCTGCAAACTGTGTTGATGAAGAATCTCCCATGTGGGTTCCACCAGACAAAGGAAGGTGCGATGAATTCAGAGCCTCCATGTCAATACTATGCTGATTGATAACAGTCTCCATTGCCCTTAAATGAAGAAAATTAAATTAAGAGCATAAGGAAGAGAGTGAGGAATAAAGGTGAAATGAGTGATCACATTAACAGGCCATTCAAAGCACTCCGAACTGAGCTTTTAGGTTAAATAGTCATCTCCTAGTCTCTAATAACCTAAAACTCGAAATCAGTAGGTATGATCCGCTGAGTGATGAAGAACATATCAAGAAATCAATCCTAATCATTTATATCACCCAAGATGGTCAGAGAATCCTAAAACAAAGAGTTAGTTATCAGGCAGGGATGAAAATTATCAAAAAATCAAAATAAATTAACAGTGCACGTTCTGGCTCAAGTATGAAAGTCTAGACTACTTGTCATCATGCAGTTCCCAAATGGTACTTTTTGCATTGGATCCTGCCACTCTTATCTTTCAATATATATGTAGTACACTAGATTATGAAGTCAGCAGCTGACTGACAGCATGGTGCTGCTAATGGTTGAATAGTTCAGAAATCAGCAAGTAAATTTTATCGGATAGTTCAAAAAACAGCAAGTAAATTTTATTGGTAACATGGTGCTAAAAAAAAAATAATTTTCAGTGTATAAGAGTACGGAAGACTTCAGAAACTTGGACTCCAATGTCATTATGAACTCAACCACACTTAAAAGTATTGTTTTATTTCATCATCTCATTAAACACAATTTGTTGGATGTGACAACTATTCATGAGAAGTGAGCTGCAGAAACTCCAGTCCATAAATTCTTTTTGTTTCTGTCAATAATCTAATGGAGTATTGTCTACAAGGCCCGATAGACTTTGCAGGACATAAGATAATTGAAAAATATTGATGGAGCTGGGCAGGCTTCACCTTGATATCACTTGATATGGCATTGAATTTTCCTTCCCATTTGATCTCATGTGTTGCAATATCTGAAATTCAAATAGACAATATCCATGAAAATAGTAAACAAATATATTGTCACATAAAAACTACAAGGCAGAAATAAATTGAAGTAGGCAGCTGCAAAAAGGAAATTATACACACCACATAAAGTTTTCTAGCCAATTTTGTAGGCTCGTCTGTAGATTCCTGAATAAGTTCATGCAGAAACTTTGCAGCCTCCAGCTCAGCATTAGGTGGAGCCGCCATCTTGTTTGAACTACAACACAACATTAAAAATCAAGCCTCTCACATCAAATTCACAACGCAACCAGATCCTGACAATCTAGATTGTATTTCAAGTCGAAATCACAATATCATCATAATTATCTTTTCTATTTAAAAAAAAAACAAAGATTGTTCATGACTAATGATGTAAACCGTTCGGTTCAGTTCAGTGTTGAGGAAAAGTTTAGCACCAAACCAAACCTTTCGGTTTTGTCCATTTTTTTGGTTTTGGTTTGGTATAGAGAAGGGATTTACATAAGGTTTTAAAGAGTTTTACAAAAACTTGTACAATTTCACATTGACAATAAATAGAAAAAGTAACAAAGTTCCTATGCCTTTGTTTGGGAACTTGGTTTGGGGCTAAAATAGCCACAAAAAACAAAATAGGCTATTTTAACCACAAAAAACAAAACATCAAATCCAACCCATAATCATTACAATCCTCTCTCACAAAAAAAGTCAAAAAAGCCAAAAAGCCAAAAAGCCCTTCCCAAACCAGGCTAAAATAGCCCAGGCTAAAATAGTCAAAAAGCCAAAAAGCCAAAAAGCCAACCCACTTCCCAAACGGAGGCTAATGTAAATGTTATCTCCCTAGTTTTAAATATAATATATCAGTCGATTCGGTTTGTATCGGTACCGAAAACCCTAACCTAACCCTAAACCAAAATTTCAACTGATTTTGAATGGCCAGTTCGGTTCCATGCGTTTTTCTTACACCATTATTCAAGGCCACGATTGCAATAACAACACAAAACAACCACCAACAAACACTGTGAATCGATACTTATCAAAATACAATGTTTTCAAAGGCGAAATTGAGGAGCGAATCAGGGCAATAACGCCTCAGGGCGTACAATTTTACGAGCCGAACCAACTAGAACTAGGCGAAATTGAGCCTTAACGGTTGAGGCGTACGTACGCCCCTTCTGTGATGGAAATTAAAAAGAAAAAAAATAAAAAAATGAGAGGCATAACGCATATGAGAGAAATACGACATAGAAGGCAAACCTAGGGTTTTGATTCAATGATTCATTGGCTTCGATCTGAAAGACGTTGTTGATTTCGAGCTTTGATTATTTTTTTCTCCATCTTCGATAATTGTTTGTTGCTTCGATAATTGAATTGAATTTTTTTTTTTTAGGAAAATTTTATTTTATTTTTTAGGAAAGAATTTAATTTTTTAAAATTTAGTTTTTTTTATTTATTTTTAAGAAATTTTTTAATATTAAAAAAATATATTTTTTAAATACAATTTTATCTAAAAATATTTAAAAATATAAATACACTAATATATAAAAAATATTGAATAATATTACAAAAATAAAAAGTTTGAATTATTATATATATATATATTTTTGTATTTGGTGGAATTTTAAAAAAAAATCTCAAAATATTATACTTTTTAATGATATTTATATTAAGTGTATATCAAAAAATAAAAATTTATTTAAAATATTAAAGAAATTCACTAAAAATAATATAATATATATATATATATAAAAAATTCAATTTTAAAAAAATTAAATTCAAAAAATTGAAAAAAAAAAAAAGTGAATATATCTACACCAATATATACAAGCTTCCAAATATACACTACTATCTCTATACACCAATATATGCAGTAGTACAAAAACCTCATTTTTTCCTGGCCCTAAAATTTCGGGCCTTATAAGTAGAACTGTGTAAAATATCCATCCAATATGCTAAAGCTGCATCGATCTCGCATTCAATCTACCACTGCTGTAACCGCTAACCGCAGGTTTAACCTTTAAAATTTATATTCCGTCAACTGAACCGCTCCGCTCTGCTAAAGTTAACACGTTTATATTTTTTAAGAAGATTTATTAGAAAATCATTTTTCAAGTGTTTGTATCCCAATTCATAAGATATTTTTGTATTTAATAAGTCCTATTATTGAACATTTGATTTACCAAATCTTAATGCTCATATTTAAAGTATTTTATGAACATTTCTATCCTTACAAATATTTTTTAAATGGTTAGCAATGGTGATGTGAATATTCATATTTTACAATATGAATATTTACATTGACATGTTAATGTTCACATTGAAGTGTGAATATTCACATCACGGAACATTCACACTGTAAATATGAATATTATTAGGGGTATTTTTGTAACTATGTCACTCATAGGACTTATTGAAATATAAGAAAACAATGTGGACTAAAGGAATATAAGTAGGTGAGAGGGGATTTATGAAAAAGTACCAAATTTTTGGAGCTTTTTTGATAAGTCATCTTTTTTAGAGTTTTATTCCATTCACCCATATTCTTTTTAACTATTCCATTAGATCCTATTTGAGATAAGAAGACCAAAACACCCCCAATCTCCATTCCCTGTATTAACGTTGATATTTAATGTTGATTGTCATTATATTTTGATATTCCTATGCATTAGGAATGTTGACTGTCATATATTCATATTAATTTAAAATGAAATTTTGTCACTGTTTTATATTTCATATCAATGTAGATGAAATGAATATTTACATCATTATAGTCACATTAATTTGAAATAAATTTTGTGTCATGTGTTGTCAATTATATGATGTGAATATTCATACTAAAACATATGAATGCGAACGTTCACATCACTACATATTATGAATAAGAATGTGTTGTCAACTAAAAATAAACATGTTGTGAACGTTTAAATCATTACATTAGATGTGAGAAATTTTTCAAAAATATGTTATGAACGTTCACATCAGATGAGAGAGAATTTTTTATATTATTTTTAATATGTTGTCTCAAATTAAAAATAAGGAGGTTCACATGTTGTGAAACGTTCACCATCACTACATTGACAAGAGAATTCTTCGGAAAGGTGTTGTGAACATTCCAATCAGATAAGAGAGAATATCTTACATTATTTTATGTGTTGTTAATTAAAAATATATTACGTCAGATGAGAGAAAATGTTCACATATTTTTAATGTTCTGTCAATTAAAAATATTTATTC